TGGGAAAAATGAATAATTTGAATAATAGGGGAACAATGAATAAATAATTTGGAGAACAATAAATAATATGAAGAACAATAAATATTAAGATGATTAATAAATAATTTGGAGAACGATAAATACTATGACGAACAATGAATAATTTGGAGAACAATAAATAACCTGAAGAACAGTAAATAATTTGGAGCACAATAAATAATCTGGAGCATAATAAATAATATGGAGGATCATAAATAATGTGGAGAACAATAAATAATCTGGAGCATAATAAATAATATGAAGGATCATAATATGGAGAACAATAAATAATTTGGAAAACAATAAATAATATAAAGAAAATATAGACCCCCCCCGTTCTCGAGAATGAAGGAGTAATCTAAATTGTATTCTCAGTCGTCGCAACACTGTCTAGGACTACTCTCAGTACGGTTGCCAGGACATTAAGCTAGATTTCAAGCCGAAGGAGTGGGAGTACTCCACGCGGTCATCGTCGATTCGCATCGCGCAGCGGAGTGGGGCGTTCCAACCCGTCCGCCGCGTCACGTTACCTATCCCTACTCCCTCGCCTGTGAATCTAGCTTATTTTCCTGGCAACCAGGTTTGTCGCAATTAACGACGTTCCCAGCTTTGTTCATCAATCTTCGAGCATACAGTCTCGTCAGAAAGTGTAGTGACTCCTTTTAAAATACAATAATATAATAATATAATAAAATATAATAAGAACATTTTTATAATTCGAGTAAATAATTCGAATTATTTTTCTTTAGACGATAAAACGACTGCTTTATTTATCACTATTGACAACAATGACTAAAATAGTTCCTTCTAATTTTACTATTATTTGAAATGTACTGAAGAATATAAAAAAAGAGCTCGCGGTTAATTGAGTTAGATTACGTTAAATGAAACGAAAATATAAGTCACGCGATTTGCCGGAACAGCATGGAAGAATGAGAATAAATCCGTCACGTCGGACAGAGAAATGACAGACGGTGAAATGACAGAGCTGTCAAAACGGGGACAATTTCCTTGCCAAGCGGCAAAGTGATAGGCGATAATATATTATAGTAATCGAGCGCGGTAAAGCAGTTGCGTCCGGCATCGCCGGCGGTACTGCGATCTGTACGCGACTGCACAAGCTGTCCATGAATTTTTCCTAATTACGCGTTGTGCGAGCCTAATGGCCACGCGCAGCCGGATTACGCAACGGGTGTCGTTGCGGCCGCCGTTACGCTTTTCCTATCGGCGCAGTGCAGCGCGGAGCCGCGCGCCGCGGCGGCCGATTCGCGGTGTATCGGCGCGAGTGACACCCGAGAGCTGGATCAGTTCTCCGTGGGCCCACGCACGTCGAGATATTCACGAGATAATCGCTAATCGTCGATTGAAATCTCCGGAATAAAAAAATAATCTCGAGAAAAATTTGAGAAAATTGTCGGAACGTTGACGAATCGATTTTTTCAATTATGACGCAGCGATCGAAAAATCGGAAAAAATTTGAGCACACTTTCCGCGACGTTGTTTTCTCAGTCAATTAATATAAAAATAGTATCTTCTCTAGTTTGCGATTTTTTAATCTTTTCTCCAGTTTTCCATTTTTCGCGATCACAGTTCGCGACATAAAAATCTGAAAAAATTCCCATACACGCGTCTTCCTATCCAGAAGCCACCCTATTTTTTTCAAAATTTTGCGAAGCATGAAAAAAACTACCCTAACGTGACATTCCGTGCGCGCGCGCGCGCGCGAAATCGCGTCGTCGACGCGCGCCGAGCACCGGTGGACGTTCGTCAGGCAGCGTTCTGCCCGAAACGGGCCGGCCATTGATTAATTATCGGTAAACGACGGCGATGAATGCAGAAGGCGAGCGAGCAGCGTGAACAACAACGTCCGCGGAACGCGAGCTGGCAAATTACCGGCCGCGATGATTTCCTCGAACAACAACAGGCCGAGTTCTGGATCGCGATTGCGGAAAGGCCTACCGGTTCGTTTTCCTCTTCCCTTCTTTTTTTCTCCGGCGCGGCTGTTTCCGTTTCTTTTGTAGCGCCGCGCCGCGGGACTGGAAATGGGTTTTCGAAGCGGATGGCACGACGCCGCGGCCGGTGCACAGAGAACCGTTTATCGCGGACTGGTCCGCCGAGTTGCTCACCTACATAGGAACAGCGTTCACTAGTTTCTTCCGGCACCTTCTTCAAGGCGACACGCGCTTCTACTCAGAAGCGTTGCTCTCGACTGGATCTGGCCTACCGGGAATAATTCTAGACTGAATTCATTCCGTAGAGGAACTGTTTTATGCCGGGATAATTTTGTGGTAAAGCAGCTGTGTACTGGAAATGTTTTATGGTGGAGGAATTGTATACGGAATTGGTTCTGTTCAGCGCAATTCTAGGTTCAAAGAATTCTGTGCTGAAATGATTTCGTTGGAATCGATTGATCTTCTGGTAGAATAATTGTGTACTAGGATAATTTTTTATTAGAATAATTTTTTTTAGGAGAACAGGTTTCGTGCTAATCTAATTGTATACTAGATCAATTTTCTATTAGAACAATTAAAAACTAGAACAATTGTATACTGAAACAATTGTCAATTAGAACAATTGTCAATTGGATCAACTTTCTACTGGAACAATTGTATACTTGATCAATTGTCTGCTGGAACAATTGACTACTTGATCAATTGTCTGCTGGAACAATTGACTACTTGATCAATTGTCTGCTGGAACAATTGACTACTAGGTCAATTGTCTGCTGGGACAACTTTCTACTAGAACAATTGTATACTGGATCAATTGTCTGCTGGAACAACTTTCTACTAGAACAATTGTATACTAGATCAATTGTCTGCTGGAACAATTGACTACTAGATCAATTGTCTGCTGGAATAATTTTCTACTATAACAATTTTCTACTAAAACAATTGTATACTGCAGCAATTGTATGCTGGAACAATTTTCTATTAGAACAACTTTATATTAGAACAATTGTATACTAGATTAATTTTCTACTCGAACAATTTTCTACTAAAACAATTCTATACTAGATCAATTGTCTGCTGGAACAATTCTATACTAGATCAATTGTCTGCTGGAACAATTCTATACTAGATCAATTGTCTGCTGGAACAATTCTATACTAGATCAATTGTCTGCTGGAACAATTGACTAGTAGGTCAATTGTCTGCTGGAACAATTGACTGGTAGGTCAATTGTCTACTGGAACAATTGACTAGTAGGTCAATTGTCTGTTGGAACAATTGACTAGTAGGTCAATTGTCTGTTGGAACAATTGACTACTAGGTTAATTGTCTGCTGGAACAATTGTCTGCTGGAACAATTTTCTACTAGAACAATTTTCTACTCGAATAATTTTCTACTAGAACAATTGTATACTAGATGAATTTTCTGCTGGAACAATTGTGTGCTAGAACAATTTCCTACCGGAATGATTTCATTCTATAACAATTTTCTAGTAGAACAATTTTCCATGGATTCTTCAGCGTAATTTTACATCTCGTCTTCTTTGTTTTCATTGCACCTCTATTAACTGCCGTCATAAATGTGTACGGTCTACAATCAGCCGATGAAATAGTAAACAATACACCGTAAAATCAATAATTGCTGCTTGCACCGCTATCGTTGCGCATCAGTAAAAATCGAACAGCCCGATGACAGAGCTCGGTGAGCACTGCACAGAATTGACCCCGGCAATTCTTCTCCTCTCTCGCGGTGGAGAAATCCATCGACTGAACAGTAACAGCTGCGCCGCGGGACTGGAATTAACCTGATTAAACGGGGCCCGATCAAGACCCATCATAAGTCGGCCTCTCCCTCTCCCTCTCTCTCTCTCTGTTTCTCTGTCTCTCGCTCTTTCTGGTTCTCTCTATCACACTCTCTCTTTCTGTCGCTCTTTCTCTCTCCCTGTGGTTCTCTCTCCCCTTTCTCTCTGTCTCTGTTTTTCTCTCTTAATCCCTCTCTGTTTCTCTCTCACACTCTCTCTCTCTGATTCTTTTTATCTCATTTTCTCTCTCTGACTTTCTCCGTTTCTTTTTCTCTCTTTCTCTCTCTCTCTCTGGTTTCCTCCCTCACTCTCCCTCTCTCTCTCTGTCTCTCTCTCTCTCTCTCCCTCTCTCTAAGCCAGACCTAACTCAGATCTAAGTCAGACTTAATAGAGTCTTAATGCAGACTTAAATCAGATCTAAGTCAGACTTAATAAAGTCTTAATGCAGACTTAAATCAGATCTAAGTCAGACTTAATACAGACTTAATGCAGATTTAAATAAGATTTAAGTCAGACTTAATAAAGTCTTAATGCAGACTTAAATCAGATCTAAGTCAGACTTAATACAGACTTAATGTAGACTTAAATAAGATTTAAGTCAGGCTTAATAATAAATAATAATTATAATATTAATAATAATATTATTAATAATAAATAATAGTCAGGCTTAACCTAAATCAGATCTAAGCCGGACCTAAATCACATCTAAGCCAGATCTAACTTAGATCTAAGTCAGACTTAATACAGTCTTAATGCTGTCTCTTTCTCTTGCTCTATCTCTGTCTCTCCCTCTCGGCCTCTTATTCTCTCTGATTCGCTCTCTTTCGCTCCCTCTCGCTCTCTCTCTCTCTCTTACTCTCTCTTTCTCTCTCTCTCTCTCTCTCTCTCTCTGTTCCTCTCTCTCTCTCTCTCTCTCTGTTTGTCTCTGTGTGTGTGTTTATCTTCCTCCCTGTTTTTCTCTGTTTCTCTCTGTGTTTCTCTTTCTTTCTATTTCTCTCTCTCTCTGTCTCTCCTCGTCACCGTCACTTCTCTTTGTTCCCGTCTCCTCGAGGTCTCAGCGTCCTTAACGGCCCGTGAATGAAACAGGCCGACGCCGGCGCTGGCTCTCGCCGCGACCGTTTACGTGAAAAAGAGCGAGTGTACGGGGCCGTTCATTGTGAGCATGCTTAATGAATGGGTATCGTTAACGAGGGAAGAGGTCCGCTCACGGGAAACTGCGCTGACCGGCACGCCCCGGGAGGTGCGTTCATTCAGACGGCGACAGGATCGGGATACATCGGGGATGCTTAATTAAAAGTGAAATTGGATTCTAAACACGGGGTTCGTTCCTCGTCAGACGTATATCAGAGATCGCAGAATGAGTTAAAATAGCCCGAAACGCGGACTGAATTCATTTCAGTGTTATTTCGATACTATTCGTCGTGACGACTTTTTAGGGTATTCGTGGAATTTTGAGGTTTTTGCGAGTTTCCTGGCGACTGAGGATGTTCCACTTGGATAATTATATGTCATTCGATAGAATTTGTTATGGTCTTGCGTTTAAAATTTGTTGCACGTGAATAGACTAATTTTTTAGCGTTTTACAACGGTTTTAGTGTCGTTGGGAATTTGCCCCATTTTTGACGATATTTTGCTTTTTCTCAATTTTTCTGGCAATTTGGGATGTTTGACTTGGTTATTGATGCTTTATTCGATATAGTTTGTTAAGATCTATCGTTTGAATATTGTTATACATCAAAAAACTTATTTTAAAGCGATTTACAGCGTTTTTAGTGTCGTTGGGAATTTGCCCCATTTTTGACGAAATTTTGCTTCTTCTCAATTTTTCTGGCAATTTGAGATGTTTGACTTGGACATTGATATTTTATTCGATACAGTTTGTCAAAATCTATTGTTTAAATTTTGTTGTACATCAAAAAACTGATTTTGAAGAGTTTTACAGCGTTTTATAGTGTTTCAGCGTAGTCGAGTGTTTTCTCCACTGTCGACGAAACTTCGCTGTTTTTCAATTTCTCCGACGTCGCGAAGCGTTTAACTTGGATATCGATATCCAGTTCGATAAAACACGTTGAGATCTATCGTCTAATTTTCGTTGCACAACAAAAAAGTGATTATTAAGCGTTTTACAGCGTAATTAACATCGTTGGAAGTTTCGCAACTTTCGTCGAAACATTGCCATTTCTCAATATCTCCGACGATTCAAGATGTTTGACTTGGATGTTGATATTTCACTCGACAAAACACGTTAAGATCTACCGTTTACACTTTGTTGGCCATCGAAAAAGCGATTATTAAGCGTTTAACAGCGTTTTACAGCGTTTCAGCGTAGTCGAGTATTTTCTCCACTTTCGACGAAACTTCGCTGTTTTTCAATTTCTCCGACGTCGCGAAGCGTTTAACTTGGATATCGATGTCCGGTTCGATAAAACACGTCGAGATCTATCGTCTGAATTTCGTTGCGCAACAAAAACGTGATTATTAAGCGTTTTACAGCGTTTTTAACATCGCCGGGAGTTTCTCCACTTTCGACGAAACTTTGCTGTTTTGCAATTTCTCTGGGCGATCGAAAGCGTTTGCCTCGCGATGTCGATGTCCAATTCGATAAAACTTGTTAAGGTCTATCGTTCGCATTTTGTTGCACATCAAAAGACTGATTATTAAGCGTTTTACAGCGTTTTTAGCGGCGTTAGGTGTTCGCTCCACTTTCGACGAAACTTTGCTGTTTCTCAATTTCTCTGCCGATCGAAAGCGTTTGAAAGGTTCCGACAAAATCCATTTTTTATAGCTGATTTCCATCAAGTACGATCGTTTTTTCGTAACTTACTACAACGTCTCTGCGTTTCCCGGGCTATTGTCGCGTTTTCGTGCGATTTTTCGGTTTTCCAAGCTTTTTCGTGCGATCTTTCGGTTTTCCCGCCTTTTTCCTACGATTTTTCGGCATTCCAGCGTTTCCGTGGGATTTCTTGGTTTTCCAGGCTTTTCTTCGATGTTTCGGACAATCGAAAGACGCTCGGCCAGCGCGCTTTTCCGCACTGAATTCGCGCTGATCTCGTTAAGAATCATTATTTCCATAGCGTTTCCTGGAAACGCGCGTAATTCCCGTTCTCGTCGACCCGACCTTAAAACCATGAATTTGCGGAGGTGCCCACGGTCCGGCGGGCATCGATGCTCAACTTTTCAGTTTCTAATCCTTTCACCTGTCACGTG